TACTAAAAATAACAGATAAAATATAAATTTCGTTAACATTTAAAAAAGTTTAATTTAAAAGTTATAGCATGAAAACTATAACAAGCACAAAATGGTTACGAGGTCGGTCCCAGGCACCGAGCCCATGCTGAAAGAGTTAATGTGTGCTGATAACAAATTTTGTTTCGTGACAACCAGAAATCCAAGAAAAAGAACAAACAGACAAATGGGCAGGTAAATACTCCTGAGGGTAAAGACACAGAAACTCAGAGCATCAAAAATGAGCCAGGATCTCCTGCGACAACCTCAGAAAACAAAGATGAACAAGAGAAGGAGGTAAAAACTATTCTCAGTATATAAACATATTTTGAAGTAATTAATACCAACAAGTGGAAATCAACCATTTAAATGTACCTCGTTTATTTATATTAAAGCTAAGCACTTATTACAAAAAAAAGTACAGAGATAAATATATTTTAACCTAGCGATTGTTATGTCATCCAAAGACTCTAATTACATAGTGGTCGAAATAGCAGGTAAAACTCTAATGTTTTTTTAAAGATTAAAATGTAGCTATATCTTATTCTGTAGGTCTGGAGTTTTATATCTACATATTTAATATTGTGAGGAATAATGGCTGTTAAATAATAAGAGAAATAATTTACTAGATCTGATGGAATGAAGATAGTTCTTTGCATGTTTTTAAGTCCTCCCAGATATTTGTTTCTATGAATCTTCATGTTCAATTACACAATTTATAATTATCGGATTACCTATGTTAAAATTATATCTTTTTTTGTTTGTTTGTTTTTCTTAAGAAAAATGTAATTTTATGTGTTTCTGTATTTTCAAACAAGGTGCTTTTATTTTCTATTAAATCTTTTTTTTTTTGTTTCTTGTGAGAAGTGGTGTAGTGTTAAATATTTAGTGCCAAAGCCTGCCAAAATTTCTGTCACGCGTGTGACGTCACCATCAGATTAAAGAACTCCTCTTCAAAATCTAATTTCTATTTCTGGATTTCAGCTATGGCAACACTACACACCAGCTCATGAGGTTTGTATCTTTAAGATTGTGATCTTTAGTTACACTAGTAAACAGAAATGGTATTAGTATAGATCTAATTAGCTTGTTCTCTTGTCTCTGAAGGAATCTGTCGAAGAAGATATGTTTAAGAGCAGGAAGAGATTAAGAGAGGATAACCCTGCTCTCCAGATTGAAGTAAAAGAACTCCTAGTTTCTCCTAAAAGGAAGAAGCCCTCAGCAGAGAGGTCTTATAGTCCAGCCGAGTCTTCAAGCCCAGACAGCAGCAGCGTGTCAAATGAAGAAAATGGAAATGAAGGGGATAATGAGGAATGTGATGGGGAACCATATAGTACCCCATCATCTCCAGGGGCTTACAGTGTTAATCATCAGCCATCCAATTCCAACATTAAGACAGAACAAGAGGAAAGGTTTGTATTTGTGCTTTACTTGACATGGTCAGCTTTGGTAGGAATTAAAGTTTTCTAAAAACTGTTTATGGCCATTTTGTACAATATAATATATACCAGAATCACAGACACTTTGTGAAGTATTATATACTTAAAATAAGCATTTCATACAATTCAATGTATTAGACATAGGTTTTTTTGTATAATATGATATGCTAGAAATAAAGTTATTTTCACAAATTAATAAATAGTTACTTAAGTTTTTGGTTGAATCATAAGAAGAAAATTATGTTTGATACATTTACATCATCAATTGTATTAGTTCTTGTGCTAACTTATCAAACATTTGTTTTATTGGGATTTAAACTAACTCCAAAATCAGTACAATTGGTACAATCAAACTGGGTTGTATATTCAGTAATATACTCTTTTATAAATAACATAATTGTAATTGATAGTGAGAAATAGAACCATGTTACAAACCATGAATGTAAAAAATAATAAATAATTCTATTTCAATCATTTTTAACTCGGGAATATTTTCTAATTTTACAACATTTATTTAGCGAAAAATATTTTAATCTTACATTTCTTCACATCCACAGAACTTTTGTGCTCATCCCAAACATAGATGTATATGTTAAGAAACTATTATCCCTCAAGAGAACAATTGTCCATGTTTTGTTTCTTACCTAATTTTCTTTCTTTTTTTTTAATGATTTTATAAGTACAGCTTATCCTTTTATGACTTTCCAGCATGTGATCTGAACAACTAACTACTGAAACTCAGCTTTGAAAATAGCTATAGCCAATGTTTAAAGAAATTTTCAAATAACTTTTTATATGAAGTTAATAAACCTTATTGCTCTAAAAAACCTATAAAGTAAAATATTTTGAAAAACACAACTAGTTTTTGGTCATTGGCCTACATCAGGTATAAATTAAATAAAGTGTTTAGTAATTGATCTCAACCAAGAATAATGTCAGCTAAAATATTGTAACCTAGTATGACCTTATGCCATTTTGATAGGTCAGGTCGTAGGTCAGTAATAAATCTTTGTCAGCTTATACTGTGCTTTTATTACTTGTAGCTTAAAGTTATGACTAATGCATTTAACAAAATATTAATCAAGTTCAAATTGACTTGACTTATAAAATTTAACTTTTTGATCAACAGTAAAAAAACAACATAAATCGTAAGATAAAAAGAGGCATTTGTAATGTTTCTTCAAAAAAAAACTGGGTCTCGCACAAAATTCAGCAAAATTAAATTAAACTACTTCAATTTTTTTAAAGCCAAAACTAGTACTATTTAGTACATTTGTTCTAACTTTTGTGCAATTTGGTTAAGTACTTTCATTGTGAGAAGGAAAAAAATTCAGCAAAATTAAGTTAAACTACTTCAATTTTTTAAAACCAAAACTAGTACTATTTAGTACATTTGTTCTAACTTTTGTGCAATTTGGTTAAGTACATTCATTGTGAGAAGGAAAAAAATTCAGCAAAATTAAGTTAAACTACTTCAATTTTTTAAAACCAAAACAAGTACTATTTAGTACATTTGTTCTAACTTTTGTGCAATTTGGTTAAGTACTTTCATTGTGAGAAGGAAAAAATTGAGGGATATCAGTGACAAGAAAATGTAAATTTGTTTCAAAAATCTCATAATTGTGAAAATATTCCTTTTTTTATGTGGAAATCTTGAGTTCAAGACTTTTTAGCTAAAATTCTAGTTTGTTATAGTTTTAATTCAGGTATCAAATTTTGTATGTATAGTTGCTGTTTCTTAGAGCAGTGTTTCTCAACCACTGGTACATGGACCGGCATTGGTCTGTCACAACCACCTTGCCAATCCATGGTATTTCACACAAACAAACAACACTGACAGAATATTCAAATGTAAATTGTAATGATTTTTTTCATTGTACTTGCATTTTAGTGGTTTTCGACAGTTTAGGGAGGTAATGAGCTAACCCTTAGTATTGAAATGGTTGAGAAACGCTGTCTTAGTGTACTTGAATACATTAGTCATTGTATATTTCTAAACCCTTTCCCTCTGTCTCTAGTGTAAAAGAAACAGCTGAAGTTAAAGACAGCACAGAAAAGATGCCTGACATAAGAGATAATCAGAGTCAGAAAATGCCCACATCAAGTGAGGAGGCAGAAAATGTTGTGCTATCTCATAAGATAAAGACCGAACCACTTCCAGTGACCAGTGAAAATACTTTTCCTTCACAACAGATCAGTAATCCTACTGACAGTGTTGTACTTCATTCTCATTCACCCCCTCCATTATTTCCACCAACATCTTTGTCATCATTTGTCAAAATAAAAGAAGAAGTTGTCACAGATACATCATCAGTAAATGAGGATAACTTGAACCAATTTCCTTTATCACTGAAACAACCAGATATTAGCCCTGGCCTTCCTTTAGACTCATCATTTTCTCTACATAATCAGTTTTCAAGGATTAGCGAGTTCTCTGGTGATTTAAAACCTTCAACCCAGATTAGCCTTTCCCAAACCCCGCCTCTCAAATCTCAAGATATCAAAACAGAGCCATTTGATCCACAGGAAGCTCTGCCATCTGAACCTTCATTTTTATTCAGTAAATCACAACCCTCGGGCCCTTGTTTATCAGATAATGCATCTGGTGCACATCTAACAAACGATTACAAAGCTCACCTCCTTTCAAACCCTTTGTTGATGGACAAAAAAGGATCATCTTCTGTACCATGCATACTGCAGAACTCTTCACCGGTTATAACATCTGTGACAGCTGAAACCACACTGACACCTTCAACTGTTGCCCCAACGTTTACCACAGCTGTGTCAACAACAGTGTCAGTAACCAGACCAACTCCTTCTAGCGTTCAATCTTTAGCCTCTTCTGTGTCCCCATCCTCACTCTCTCAGTTTTGTCAAGAACCTTCGACCTACCCTTATCATCCTTACTTTGCTCCACACTTGCACAATCCTGGAATGCTTCTGCCTCCTCATCCGTACCCGTCCTTATCTTCCACTGACCTACAATCATCACCAAAAGTTAAAACCTCTCCGATATCATCTCCCATGTCTGCAACTCCAAGCCATCATATCTCATCAAGAACTCCACCTAAAACACATACACCAGTTTCTTCTAGCTGTGCCACAACAACAGGATCCTCTTCATCTCCTGTTACTCCTATTACAATGAGCTCATCAACAACGTTAACCCCTGGACCGCCATCTGTGTCATCAACAGTCTCCCATGGCTCTGTTACACCATATAACACAGTTTCTACCAAAACAAATACTACAGAAACTCCACCTGCTAGAGAAATCAAAACCAAAAATGTTCCACCAGAGGTCTTGCATGGTGAACCTGTTGGACGTTTGCAGACGTGTGGATCAAGCTCAGAGAACAAAGGTCAGGAAACAGAATGTCACCGCAGCCAGTCTGCCATGTAAGTTTGGTTCATTGTGATAATTTAAGTGTGCTGACTGTGAATCAAAGGGTTTAGGGTTTGCTTTCCATTGCTTCAAAAATGTATACTGCACTTTAGGACCATGGGGGGTGGGGGTGGGAGGTGCTACAAAAGTGACAGTCAAGTCTCACTGTTCAGTCAGACCAAAGAGTAGCTCACAAGTTGGCTGTGGGTGATGTTTACTAATTTCCCTTTAATCTGTCAATTAAAATTAGGGATGGCTTATGCACAGGTACCCCCCCTTATGTAGCTTTGTGCAAAAATTCTAAAACAAACAAACCTGTTATTATTTAAAATATCTTTAGAATCAGCAAATATAAGCCAATAACTAAAAACTCTTTCAAGATGTAAAGCTAAGAAAGTCTGATTATAAGTGTAAATTTTCTCTAGTGAAATACAGGTATTGCACAAAGTTGTCTTTATGGATTAAATAAAATCAAACGTTTGGAGAGAAAAATAGGAATTACCAATAGTTTAGTATCAGCATTTGTTTGTTTGTCAAAGAAATTGAATTAGTGTAAATTAACTATATTCCATGTATAAGTTTTGATACTTTTAACTGTTATTTCTGGTTTTTTAAACTCTTCAGCATTTAATCTAGCAGTTTTAATTTCCAAGTTAAAAATTCTCAATTCAAGGTATTTCTTACAGAAGATTTTACACATTTTTTTTTCTCAAGATTGATTGGAAAGTGAAAAAAATATATACATATGTAAATTTTTTTCCCAATTTCATTTTAGTGAAACTCCTTTAACTAATACGTTCTCTGTAGTAATTCTGATGATAATGTTGTATTAAAATGTGAAATATTCCGAACAGATTCTTGAGACGGTACACTAATGGGTTAGAGTTCAATTCTTGTGCTCGCACTGATCTCATCTTCAAACCTGTTCCGGGCTCCACATTGGCAAGAAAACGTGAAGAACGTGCGAGGAAAGCCGAGGAAAAAGAGAAAGAAGACAGTATTAATAAGGCAGTAAGTATTAATCTCATGCTTTTGGCTGATAAAAATCCACTAAAATGTGGTATAGTACAGAGTAGGTAAAAATGTGAATAATGAACTAATACTGTCCTAACTACAAGTAATCTCGTATAGAGTGAGTACAAAAGAAGCTTACTGTAAAATGGATTTGGATTCTCTTGATTGTAAAAATCAGTGTTTTCTTATTGGCAACATTTTGATAAAATCACATTATTACACTTTATCTGAAGTGCCATGTAAGCTTACTGTAAAAAAAGAGCACCTGTCAAAGATTTCAAATCCCTTCTTAGACAGCACATCTTTTCAATGGGTTATTTGTCTCAAAATCAACACCCAACTGTTATATGGAAAATAATTAGCTTTTGAATTTTGAATATTGATTTTATTGATCGTGTATCTACTGTTCTTATAACCCTATAGGTATGGGTTGGCCCTCTGGATGTCAGAGCTGGTGAACTATGTTGAACTTGTGTGATTTCATAAAATATTTTGCGCACTTTAAGCTGTGGGTATTTTATAAGAGTGACAGTCAGACCCTTAGTGTGGATGGTAAAGTGCTGCTGACTTCCCTCTAAAAAGTAATTCAAAATTACAGATGGCAACCGATAGCCTTAGTAGCTTTACTCATATTAAATGTTGATTCTCAACACCGCTAATATTTTACCCTTTTCGAGAATAATTTTAATTGTTCTTACAGTGCTCAAAGTGTGTTGATACGTAATGGTATGGCAAGCTGGCACCTATTTATATATTCGTCTTTTATACGGCTTCTTTATAAGGATTTTTTTCCATTCTTGAATGTTCAGAACAGATATTATTTTCAGCCTACTTTATTGTTTATAGAAAACTTTTTTTTTTTCAGTATGGTTTTCTTCACTTATAATTGACCTGTTCTAAATATAAATTTTCGAACATCATTTCGTAGCACTTATTCTGAAGATCAGCTACTTCACTCTTCCAAGCATGCCTTTATTTTAATGAAATATAAACTTTTCATCCCATTACCACTGTGACAACTTTAACATCTGTTAGCAAGTTTAATAATTGAATTTTGAAATAACCTACACTAATTGATCTTTGTTATTAAAAAAAAGTTTCAACTTAGGCCAAGAATAGAAGATGTGCTTCCACTTATTATGTTTTAATACTCGTACGTTTTTACTTTACGTTTCATCCGGAAGGTAGTTGCAAAAATTTCATGCTAATATATTATTGAACCTCACAAGTTACCATTCTGTATTTGTTGTTTCGAAATTTCACCTTGTTGTTTTTCGTCGTAAAGTACTAGATACCCATTTTATTTATTAACTTTTAATAATTGGAACTCAAAACGTTCTGTCTTGAGATGGTATTTCATTTATTTTGAAAAGAGCCAACGTATTTTCCATATTGTTCAGAAGTTTGGAGAAAAGAGTCATAGCGGAGAAAGCAAGTTACCAGTAACTTCTCACGGTGGAGACCTCCATTTACTTGGGTCTTTTGAAAGGACAACTCCAAGAGGCTTTTCAGATACCCCAGCACTCCGTCAGCTCAGTGAATATGCTCGTCCACATTCCACTTTCTCTCCCGGCTATCCTCGAACTACGGTACCTGGACAGCTTCCCCAAATGAGCAACGCATCAATGTCAGTAGGCGTGTCGCATCCAAGTATGGACCCATTACTGCAGTATCAGATCTCGGCTGGGATGTATGGTGCTTCTGCTCGGGAGAGGTTGGTTCCTTTGTGTCAGAGTAGCTCGATCCTGTTTCTCTATTACTGATCATGCTATCAATCAACTTTTCACTAACTTAAAGTTGTCCAAAGAAAATCAGTTGAGCTGAAGATACTGACAACCTAACATTTGTCAGTTAGTTATTTTATTAATTTTAAGACTTAGCATTTCATTGAAACAAAACAATAGTTATAATAAATATCTATTATTATGAATGAATATAATATAGAAATATTATGTGTTAAGAGTGAATTTTGGTTAGTAGAGATTTTGTCTCAAACTCTTTTTAACTTAAGAAATTTTGTACCTGAATTTACATTAAATAGAACAGTTGTTTTAAGCATTAAAATTGAAATAACAAATGAGGAATGTAATATTTGCATCTAAGCTTACAGAATTTTATTTTTGCAGGCTTGAAATGGAGCTTGAAAGAGAAAAGAGAGACCGTGACTTTCAAGAGAAATTAAAGGTGGAAATGGAAATGAAAGCTAGATTACAGCCAAATGCTTTTGATCCACATTGGTTGGAATTCCAACGTCGATATGGATCCATGGCTTCAGGGGCCGTGATGACAGGAATGTTTCCAAGTACTTCCAGTGGAGGTCTTCATGGTAATCCACTCAACTTCTACTCTTCAATGGATCAAGAACGTCTTGAGCGTTTAGGCATTCCCACCACCATGGGTGAACCTGGACGTCCAAACCTTGATCGCTTGACTGCAGAACGGCTGCACAACGAGCGTATGGCTCTAGGTACAGATCCACTTGTCCGGCTTCAGATGGCAGGGATCACGCCTGATCTACAAAATCATGCCCACATGCATGCGCATACTCATGCTCATGCACACACACATCTACATCTTCACCCACAAGATCCCCTTTCTGCTGTGGCTGCAGCAGCAGTCATTGGAGGGCCCCCCCATCCTGATCAAACCCACCCCTCATCTGGGCCTCACCCTCTTTTGCCCCCCTCGGTCTATCCGTCTACACGCCCAGGATTCACTCAACCTCGAAGTGAGATAATGTATCCTGGTGCAGGATTGTTGCGACCATCGTTTGAGGATCCATTTGCTCAACAGGTAAGAGACAAATAATAATCAGTTGTTTCATAACTTGTTTGAGACTTTGAGAGAGCAAATCCATTACGAGAGAAATCACACACAAATAGGGAGTTGTTGCAGTTGCTAATTAGGCTTAAACGTTTAGACCTATAGTGCCAAGCAATTAGTCTTAACTCAAGTATATTTCACCTTGCGGTTACTTTAGTGTACCAAAGCATTTGGTAAATTAGACTCAAATTTAATTTTTTTTTCCTGCTCAAAACTTATCAAACATATTTATTTGTTGTTAAATTTAAGTTCATAAAATGCTGTAATTTAACATTTTATCTTCTTTCTCAGTTCTCATCAATCTACTTAATTATTAATTGAAGGTCCAGTTATATTTATACTTCTTTGTTATGGGTTTTAATTTTATATGTGTTAGACTAAATGAAAAAAAAAAGGTTGGGAGGTTCTTGCTTGTAGTATATTATGTGCAGGTAGAATAAACAGAAAATATTAGGTCATTTTTTTTAAGTATGAAACAAGAAAATTTTATTTTTTATGTTAAGTACAGTTTATTAAATCTCTAACAGTAATATCAACCCATGGATGTGTATTGAAAGAATGTTTTAAAAATAATAAACTAATCAGTGCTGGTGCATGTTCATTAGCATTGAAGTATTCTACACTAACTAAACTTTAACCCTACTTTATATAGATCATCATTAGTGTATAATAAATAAAAAATGTACATGCTTTCACAAGTACTATGATATTTTCTTCCCCTGTTTGGTGGTCATCAAAGAGCCCCAAATTCTAGTGAAATCACAAACCATTTCCAATGTTAAACAGTGGAAAATGAGGCATATATTCTTGCCTATGTCACCCCCCCCCCATCCCAACAATGATACCCTACAACCACATGTCCCAACAATGATACCCTACAACCACATGGCCCAACAATGATACCCTACAACCACATGGCCCAACAATGATATCCTACAATCACATGTCCCCCATACCAACAATGATACCCTACAACCACATGGTCCCCATCCCAACAATGATACCCTACAATCACATGTCCCAACAATGATACCCTACAACCACATGTCCCAACAATAATACCCTACAACCACATGTACCAACAATGATACCCTACAACCACCTCTGAGTGATTATGTAACTGTAGCTACAAACCTACATCTTCATGACCCATGTTCCTTGTACGAGCCACCCTCCTTTTATTAGAAGATTTTACTTGTGTGAATGCATTTTGCTTTTATTAACTTTTCAGAACAAACCTATCTAATGTTCCTTTTCCCAAAATATGGCAAATAAGATGGTTAATTACTGCCAGAGATATAAACTATATGTCCTCCTATTATTGAAAAGCATTTAAAGAGTTGCAATAAAATTTTATGCCCATAATTATTTCATATTTTAAATGATAAATGTTACTTCTCTAAGCTGTTGATTTGGG